TGCCCCTTTTATAGCTGACAGCTGTATCTCTTATAAAACAAACACAATGTCACAATAACATGTCACAGCAAATCATAGTTAATTAAGTGTTTGCTTGGAGTTGAGGGGCTCTCAATTCCCCTATACCAAACAAATCTAAAAATAATTAGATACCTAAAATAATTGTTCAGGAGGGAATGGTCCTAACGAGCCCAGATTTTATTGTGGAATCACTCCCAGGGATATTGGGAATGTTATAAAGTCTGTGCATAGAGCAGTGACAGAAGAGAGAAGAATTGACAGAAAACCGACAGTTAATATATTTTTATTATCAGAATGTCACAATATCAGTCTGTGAGATAATTAATTCTGCAACAGATAAATCTCCCGGATGCACTTGTGCCGTATTGCAGGTAAGTCTAAAAGGCTCCGTTCACACCAATGTGTTTTTTAGTGCTTTTTGCAGAAATGCACTACAGTCCATTTAACATGGTTTCTTATGGAACATGTTCACATCTATGCTTTTTTGAGCTGCTGAGTTTTTGGAAAGGGTCAGGAACTTTTTTAAAAGCAAAAAAGCAGCAGTTTTTGCTACAATAGAGAAGCTGCTGAAATGCATGGTAGCGCGTTTTGCATTTGTATTCTGCCCAGCAACAAAGAAAAACACAAAATGTGGTAAAAATGCATGTAGAAAAACGAAAAACAAACTGCAAGAAGCACTGGAGAAAGCATTAAATGCAAAATGCATATATGTGAACTAAGCCTCATTCAGGAAATTTTAGACTGCGAAAAAAGACAAATGGAGGTAGAGTTCAGCAGGCCATAAATGGATCAAATCTACGACAGTTCAGCAGGCCTATAGCCGCCAACAGTGATCAGTGTGTTCTGCCAGTGGGGAGAGCTCCCCGCCAGCAGAAAACAATAGTGCGGTGGGAGTGATTCCCCCATCAACACTGTGTTGATTGAGAATAGATCAATTTTCCTTCGGAACTTGTTCTTTGTTACATCATTTAACCCATCAGTAGCATGACATTACAGTAAACATTTCTGCTGAAGGAAAGGGTCGCTTTATCTGAAGCAAAACATAATGGTTCCAATAGAGTGACTTTTAATTACACTGCTCTATAATGGGATGCTGTTAAAAGAGTAAAAATGTAACAAACGCAAAAGAACAACTTTTTGCAAAGCATAACTTTCTTGTGCCAATTTACTTTGATGTCACTCAAAACTTATATGTGAACAAGAAGTCCACCAAAAGCGGTTACCTCCAAAGAACCAGTGCAGTATATCAACATTCAATTTATTGCAAAACATCATAAATAAATATACCGAGTCCGGTATACTATACACTGCTGACTGCTCAACAGGACTGCTCACGGCCAAAGCTGATATCAGTGTTTCTCAACCTTTTTTTGTTCAAGGCACCCTTTAAAATTATGGATAATCTCAAGGCACCCCAATCTAAAATGTAAAAACTATTCTACACACATCCAGTACACCCAATGTTAGAGGTGATTTATTCTTCTAAAGCAAATACACCTTTGCACACTGGTACTGACTAGTATTCCAGTGTGTCTCTCATTTTCTCTCCCTCACTCTGCTAATGTGACCCCAGTGCTGATGGAGAGGGGAAGGGGAGGGCCAAACAAGGATGATGTGCATGCACCCGATATCCTCCTTATCAACTGATGATGTCGTTGGTTGTTAGGATGCTGGCAGCTAGAAGGTCATAAAAGTGCACAATGAAAACCTGTGGCTTTGTGCCAGGGGCGGACTGACCATTTGGAAACTCGGGCACTGCCGAGGGCCTGGGGTCAGTAGGGGGCCCCATGAGATGCCCCTGGTACCTTTTTCATAGGCTTTTTTGGGCAAGGACACAGGGGCCCCATGATCCCCTATTGCCCGAGAGCCCCATGAGTTGTCAGTCCGCCCCTGCTTTGTGCACTAAAAGGCAGGATTGATCCCCCTGCTGACTTGTATACAATTTTTGGGCATTTTGCCAAGACACCCCTGAAGAAGCCTGAAGGCACCCTGGTTGAGAAAGGCTGGCTTATATGGACTGCAAACTGAGGAACTTTGGACATGTGTGGAAGCACCTACATGTAGCTGTAGACCATCATTATTGATGCAAGCTGTCAGTTTGGACTTGACAATCCTTTCTAATTACGGAATCATTGCTGCAATAAATATGGACCCACCCATAGTGAATACAGTTCTCATGGCCACATGTCAGACAGCCTGATAAGTGCAGTCAGTTTACATAGTAGATAATATCTCTATTCCACAATGAGTTAGCCCAAGGACATCCGTGGGAGATGGTTGAAGTAGTAACTTTTCACAGTTCGGCCATTACTCCCAGTGTAGTGACCATTCCATGACATCTTTTTAATGAGGACAGGAATGGTTTCTGTGAGGTGACGGATGTGTTTTTTTGAACATTGGGTTGGTTGCATTTTGTAATTGGTATATTTATTTGTGATGTTTTGCAATTAATTGAATTTTGATATACCACACTGGTTCTTTTGAGGTAACCACTTTTTGGTGGACTTCACCATGTAAGTTTTGAGTAGTGCGTATGGTTGCATTGAACCACACTATGTAGTGTAAGTGGATATCATCATGACCATTGCTCCTATTTTTCTATTTTGAAGCTTACTTTGATGTCACCCCTATGCATTAGGTAGCATACAGACATAAAACTGAGAATCTTTTAAATGTAAGCTAAGTAGTAATTCCCAATGCTAACTAGAAGCTGGAAAAACAAATGCAGTTTGGGGGTATGTAAAAAACAAATCTGCGATGCTAGTGTTGTATTGCCCTAGTTTAAATCACTGTTGGTGGTCAGTGGAAAGAATGTTCCTTACATTAGTGGTCAGTAGGAAGAATGTTCCTTACATTTCGGTCAGTAGGAAAAATGCTCCTTCCATTGGTGGTCAGTGTGAAGAATAATCCTTCCATTGGTGTAAGGAAGAATGTTCCTTACATTGGTGGTCATTGAGTAAAATGGGTGATCATTCGGAAAAATGCTCCTAATATTGGCAATCAGTAGGAAGAAAGTTCCTTACATTGGTGGTCAGGGGGAAGAATGTTCCTTACATTTCGGTCAGTAGGAAAAATGCTCCTTACATTGTTGGTCAGTTTGGAGAATATTCATTACATTGGTGGTCAGTGGGAAGAATGTCCTTACATTGGTGGTCAGTAGGAAGAATGTTCCTTACATCTCAGGCAGTAGGAAAAATGCTCCTTATATTGGTGGTCAGTGTGGAAAATAATCCTTCCATTGGTGGTAAGAAAGAATGTTCCTTACATTGGTGGTAATTAGGAAGAATGCCCCTTACATTGGTGTGGCATTGGGCTTGTAAATATCCAAGTACAATCAGATAAGAGGTCAATCAGCTCTAGCTCAAGGAACTCCAGCAACATCTCGAGGAAACCATGGCTGAGAAGGGCTGATCTAGAATATGAGATATACAGTATAACTGTGCAGTTTAAAGCAGAGGAGCTGGAAAGAAAGGTGGTATCTAAACTATCAAAGATATAGGGTTTGCTTAGTTTGTAATAATGATGCCCTAGAGGGGATGTAATCAATAGGTATACATATCTCTACAGTAAGGGAGGTTAAGCGGTGCAATACTCTACCCTCCACATGAGAAAAAAACGGACTTAAAAAACACTGGATGGGTCGTTTTTCTCTTCTTATGGTATCTATGATATTCTAGGAGGAGAGTATGGGAAGATTTTGATCCAGGAAAAGGATCTGACTCCCTTTGGGGTGAGATACGATTTTGCCATTCTATAAGGAAAACTGGCCACAGCTGATTGTTTCTTTCTCTTCTCTGAACCAATACAGTGTGTTTCTGTCCTCTGGCAACTGAATTCAATCGTTTGATTGACTTCTGTTGAAGGGACATGTTGGAAAATTTTCCTCAATCAGTGGCTGCTGCCAATCAACTTGATGCTGCTGTTAGAATACAATGTCCCAGTGGGAGAGGGGGATTCCTTCATCCACCTCATTTGTGGCTTACTGAATGAAAAAAAGCTGCTAAACAAAAAAAAGAAAATCTAACAATGTATAGCCAGCTTTAGTATCACATATGTGTGGTAACTAGGGCAGTCTGTAAGCAAATGCATTCTGCCTAGGAATGTCCACTCCTCCGAACTGACCTCCATCCATCATGGCATAGGATCACGCTGACCAAGGAGAAATCTCTCCGAGCCCTCAAAGAAAGAAGGGTGCAGAAGAGCACAGTTTAAAATGTCCGGACCGCAACATCATCTAGAGTGGCCACTGAAAGATTTTCATTCAAGGAGGTATGTGCATATGGGACCAGGGGTGTGGGGAGGGTGCTGTGAATTAGTTCACCTTTTCATGTTGTGTGAAAAGGTGAACTAACCCTTCAAAGACTATCCCGTACACCCAGCTTGACTTATAATTATATAACGGAAACGCTAAATAATTTATGCATTTATTGATTTCTTCTAAATGGTTTTAATATATCTTTCAAATTGTTAGTATTTCTTTACTGGCTCTCAATACAAAATCTTTCTGGCTGAAAGTAGCAAACAATTCCTTGTAATGTTTACAGATAAGAATGTGGAATGCCAATCTATTTGTTGGTCAGTTCTACTCTTTGAGTCATTTTTACATTTGTAAAATGTTCTGTTTTTCTGAGTGATGCTAAATACAAAATTAATTTAGCTGTAACAGCATATGGTAGTTTAAAAAAAAGGACACGTTCATTAAAAATCTTTGCAAAAAATTATACAGGCTAAGTACATAGTTTTGGTTTTATTGCTTAGCAACGAATATGAAACTGTTGCAAAGTCCAGAAAGACACCTAAGTTCAAGCTTACTGCTTTTGTGGTCTTTCAGAATGTTGGAGCAAGTAAACCCACTCAACCTTTGAGAAATGAAGTTGACCAGAGAGTCGATCGTACACAATCTCAGCAATAATTCTGTGTAAAGAGTTCAACGATATCAAGAGTACTCCTCTCTCCAAGCCTGTTTGTATTTGAAGGACATGAGTAGGAAGAACCAGACTGTGGTCACAGAATTCCTTCTCCTTGGTTTTGGGAGTCTCAGTGGGTTCAGAATAATTTTGTTTGTACTATGTTTGTTGGTCTATGTAATGACTTTGCTAGGGAACATAACAATAATTATACTCATATTCACCAGCCAACTCTTACACTCACCGATGTACTTCTTTCTTTGTCATCTGTCCTTTTCGGATATGATGCTCACTACAGACATTGTGCCAAATCTATTGCACATCATCTTGGAGGAAGGGCGTACAATTCCATTTCTTGAATGCATAACCCAATTCCAACTCTTTGGAGCCTCCACTGGAACTGAATGTCTATTGCTCACCGTCATGTCTTACGACCGATACCTAGCTATCTGTGATCCACTGTCTTACCTGCCAGTGATGGGTACAAAGTTGAAACACCACCTGGTCGCTTGGTCCTGGGTTCTAAGTTTTGCTATCACTTTAACTATAGCACTGTTCATGTCCAACCTGAATTTCTGTGGACCAAACATCATCGATCATTTCTTCTGTGACTATGTACCCATCCTCCGTCTTTCCTGCTCTGATACTCGCTTGTTACAGATTGTGGACCTTGTCCTAACAGCTCCAGTGACCCTTTTACCATTTGTCTTGATTATCATCAGTTACATTTGTATTTCTATTGTAATAGTTAAGATCCCCACTGAAACTGGAAGGCAGAAGGCATTTTCAACCTGCAGTTCCCACCTGACTGTGGTCTGTATATTTTACCTGTCTCTCATCTCTATATATCTAATTCCATCGTCCGGGAACTCTGTTATTGCCCTTAAAATTCTCTCCCTAATGTACACAGTCATCACCCCATCTTTAAATCCCTTAATATACTCATTACGGAACCAGGAGATAAAAACAACCTTTATGAAAATGTTCTGCTTCAGGTATAAAATATAGGATAAGTTGGTTTATGTAGAACGTGGTAAAAACAATTATCCTGCTTGTTCCAAAATGGTGAAAAGTCACAAGGTTGTGTTTAGTCTGCTATCAAGAAAGCCTATCATAAAGTGTCAGACTTTTATTCTAGGTAGATCCGCAGAGGTCCCAACTGTCCCTTGTTTGGAGGGAATGTCCCTCCTTTGGAACCAGTTCCCTCTGTCCCTCTTTCCTCCTCAGTTGTCCTTCTTTTTGGTTTGATACATAGACCTCCATAGAAAAATGTACAATTTAATTATAAAAAGTGCTAAACTACACTAAACCTTTCAGATAACCTACGAATACTGTAATTGCATTTGTTATTTTAAAACGCAACTATATAGCTGGCCTAACAGAGAAGGTAACATTTAAGCTGTGGGTGGCCCTGTCTGCATCCTCCCAACTGATATCCTTCGATCTAAAAATCGAAGAAGCTGTGCAGAAAATTGTGAAAAAGAATATAATAATTGGCACTGGAGAAGTGTTAGTTATAGTAAAATTCTATATAAAAGTCCAATAAGCGGCTTCAGCGGCAGAACTCTTTAGAGCAAAGCTAGAACTCTGTAAAATTAAAGGAAACAGAGGGATGCAAGACTAAGTGCAGCGTTAGTAGTAAAATTTACTAAAAACATACAATTGGTAACTTACTAGAAGATGAAACAGGTATGTCAGTAATTTGTCCAGATGTACCCCTATGGGTGCTGACTTCCAGGCGGTCCATGCGTAGCTGGACAAAAAGGGAAAACATACCCTGTTGGGGCCTTTATTAACTGCTCTTCAACATATGCCATTTATTGTCTTTCTTGCCCTTGTGGTGTGCTATATGTAGGGCGTACCATCAGAACCTTATGGAAAAGGATTTGTGAGCATCATAGGCTCATGGAAGAGGGTATCACCAAGCACAGCCTACCATGTCATTTCTCTGAATTTCATCCAAAATCATCCCATGAGCTGCAGGTATGGGTTATTGAGTCCATACCTGATAGTTTCCCCCAGGCTGAGCATCTTCAATGGCTGTGCTGGCAGGAAACATATTGGATTTTCACCTTGGATACCCTGACCCCAAAAGGTCTCAAAGAGGAAATCGAGATCCATACTATCATTTAAGTCCTAAAAGAGTCCCAATCATTGGTTCGCCTTTTTATCCATTTATCCTGGTTCTGGTACAAGTGCATTACAGTATATATGCATATGTACGTGCGTATATATATATACTGTATATACCGGTATATATCTATATCTATATATAGATATATATATATATATATATATATATATATAGATATAATATTACTCAGATAAATATAGATAATTTTTTTGCAGTGTTTGCCCTTTGTCTTACCTCTGATTCACACATTTTTAGGATCCGAGACACCATATTTTCCCCCACGTTCACCTCAACCGGGTGGGTAAGTAAAGTAAAATAAGGGAACACAACTTCTTATATATGTGTGTATATACACACATTATTATTATTATACAGGATTTACCGTATTTTTCGCTCCATGAGACGCACCTGACCATAAGACGCACCTAGGTTTTAGAGGCGAAAAACAAGAAAAAAAAATATTCTGAACCAATAGACTGCAGACACAGTACAGGGGATGACTAGAGACTGCGGACACAATACAGGAGATGACCAGAGACTGCGGACACAGTGCAGGAGATGACCAGAGACTGCGGACACAGTGCAGGAGATGACCAGAGACTGCGGGCACAGTGCAGGAGATGACCAGAGACTGCGGACACAGTACAGGAGATGACCAGAGACTGCGGACACAGTACAGGAGATGACCAGAGACTGCGCACACAGTACAGGAGATGACCAGAGACTGCGGACACAGTACAGGAGATGACCAGAGACTGCGGACACAGTACAGGAGATGACCAGAGACTGCGGACACAGTACAGGAGATGACCAGAGACTGCGGACACAGTGCAGGGAATGACCAGAGACTGCGGACACAGTGCAGGGAATGACCAGAGACTGCAGACAGTGCAGGGATGACCAGAGACTGCAGACAGTGCAGGGAATGACCAGAGACTGCTGACCTTTGAGGAGGGAGGGGGAGCGGGTACCTGAATTTGACAGGTACCCGCTCCCACTTCCGCGGAGTTGTCCTTCCCTCTTCTTCCCGGGCCGGCTTCTGTGACAGCCGGGTGCCCACTGTGCATGCGCGAGAAGCGCTGCGCTTTGTGAATGGCCCGGTGCCTTCTGGGACCTGTCATGTGTCCCAGAAGACACCGGATCATTCACAAAGCACAGCACATGCACAGTGGGCACCCGGCTGTCACAGAAGCCAGCGCGGGAAGACTGTGCAGCGCTGGAACGAGGAAGAGGTAAGGTCCTGCAGGAGAGAACAGCTGAGCGGCCGGCCCGGTATTCTGACATGGTGGCGGCAGAAATACCGGACCGGCCGCTTTATATTCGCTCCATAAGACGCACTGACATTTTCCCCCCTTTTTTGGGGGGAAAAAAGTGCGTCTTATGGAGCGAAAAATACGGTATATAGCGCCAACACTTTGCTCAGCGCTTTACACACATATACAGTTGCAAGAAAAAGTATGTGAACCCCTTGGGATTATGTGGAGTTTTGCATGAATTGGGCATAAAATGTGCTCTGAACGTCATCTAAGTCACAACAATAGAAGAACACAGTCTGCTGAACATAATACTACACAAACATTAGATGTTGCCACGGGTTTAATTGCACATAACATGTAAACATTCACAGTGCAGGGAGGTACTGTATCTATGTATTCCAAAATGGGTGTTCTAGCCCATCTTTTAGGCTTTTATCTTTTAAATGTAATGAATAGCTGTAAACATGACAATTATATTATATACATACAGTACATGCGCCAATCATAAAAATGAGAGCCCATATGATTACATGTTTGTGTGAATATTTATAAAGATATATCCTTTTAAGTTTTTATTTGCTTAAGTTATGCAGATTTAATGTTAATGTCTCTCATTTTAACTTTGCCTAAAGGTTTTAATTGTATCTGTATGTAGGTGTCCTTTTATATGAGTTTATATATGGACTAGCATATGTTTAGAGAATATTTACATGCCCCTGATGTTTTCTTGTTTTGTCTTTATTTTCATGTAATTTTAGTTTTACATATATCTATGGCATATTATGCGATATATATTAGTTAATTATTGAGCAACGTCCCCCTTTAAGTATGGCCACATCCTTTATAATCATATTCCTTCACTTGTCCCGCCCTATTTGATTTATTTAAGATGGCTATTCCTGTTGGCCAATCAAGTCTGAAGAAGAAGCGGAAGCTTCAAAACACGTTACCACCCATTTACGTCTCCGCTCCTTGCTGACGTCATGTCCGGTCCGGCGCCATCTTGCGTTCCACACTGGTCACTGCGGCGGATGGCCACATTCAGATGTTCAAGCTCCACAGTCCTGCTATGCATAGACCGCCTGGAAGTCAAAACCCAGTATGCAGTTACAATGAATGAGTCCACACCATATTTGAGTAGCCCATTATCATTATACAGGATTTATATAACGCCAACAATTTGCTCAGTGGTTTACAATATAAAGGGGGACAGTACAATTACAATACAGTTCGATAAAGAAGGAATAGGAGGGCTCTGCTCACAGAGCTTACAATCTAAAGGAAGGGGGAGATGGTAGAAATGGTGATAGCTGCAGGGGATAATCTGATGGAGGTGACTCAAGTACAGTTTTTAGGTGGAGGTGGGGGTAGGCTTCCCTGAATAAGTGAGTTTTCAAAAGGCGGACAGGGTGGGGGGCTGACCAGACATACTGGGAGAGGGAGTTCCAGAGGATGGAAGAGGTTCTGGAGGAGTCCTGGAGGCAAGCATGGGAGGAGGTGACAAGGGAGCTAGAGAGCAAGATATCTTGGGAGGAGTTGAGTTTGAGCTTGTGCACATGGACCTGTTACATTGCACTTGCATGATTAGTCATTGACACATTCACCCACGCTATGTACAACCCCATGCATGCACCTATAGGAAATCACTGTAACAATTCTGCGCAATAAAGACATGGAGCTGTACGTGAGAGCCATCTTCTTAAAGGTCTCAGCATTTTGGTTTCATGAGCAGTGTTCCTACTCCTTCCCCCCCTTTGCAAACTATGGAATTTGTAGCTGTAACTTTTAAAGAACTTCAAAAGAGCATCTTATCTTAACTAAAACACAAATAGATTCAGTGTCCAGACCTGGTCAGAGCTGTAAACAGATAATTATTCTTGGCAGGATGTCTGTTTCCAGGAACCATGAAAAACACTTTACTCTGCCCTATCGTAAAACAATAATAACTCAGTCAAGTCTTCACACATGATGTGCGAGGCCATTAAGGTTCTAGGAATTTATTTATTTATTGTATTTATTATAGGTACTTGTATAGCGCCATCAATTTACACAGCGCTTTACATATATATTGTACATTCACATCAGTCCCTAACCCTCAAGGGGTGTACAATATAACATCCCTACTTACATTCATACACATACTAGGGACAATTTAGACAGGATCCAATTAACCTACCAGCATGTCTTTGGAGTGTGGGAGGAAACCGGAGTACCCGGAGGAAACCCACGCAGGCACAGGGAGAACATGCAAACTCCAGGCAAATGGTGCCGTGGCTGGGATTAGAACCAACGACCCTAGTACTGCCAGGTGGAAGTGCTAACCATTTAGCCACTGTGCTGCCCCAGAGCATGCCATAAAATGTCTATTCCACAACCTAACAATTCCACATGCAATTAATAGAATTCAACAGGAACAGGACACATTAATATTAGGTATATACTTTAATGAGGAATATCATATTGAATAAATCAAGGTTATACATGACTACCCTAGCACATACGAAAGGGGAGAAAGCAGTCTCCTGCTGCCTGGGCGACAAGGTAAGCTGTGTTTGGTATCCCTGGGTTCGAAATATAATTCTGAATATTAATCTGCCAGTTGCTAGAATACCACCAGC